GTGTCTGTTCCTTTTAGGAGACATGTTCATTTGGGCAACCACAGATGCACAAGAAAGTGATGCTTCTACTTGCCATAGTCCTAGCCCCTCTGGAGTACTTTTCAGCACTCCCCTCTCCACATCTGATTACAGTGATGGTGGAAGGAACAAAACTTGACCCTCAGAAGACCTAATTCCCACTTTCTTTAAGTAAATGAGTTCCTTTAGTTTCCTTTCATTTTGTGTAAAAATTGCTCTGTATCTTCACCTACTTTTTCTCCACTTAACTCCTGCCTCTGAGAAAGACAACATCTATCTTCCTTGGCAGGGTTTATTCCTAAGCTAATGACCTTAGTACTGCCTTCACTCACACCCTTCAGAACCCTGCTCAATCATCTCATCTCTTCATTTCCACTGGATCCTTTTCTTCTGCCTACATATAAGCTCATTCCTACACCAAAAATATTAACAGAAACAAATAAGATTTATATCAATTCTGACACTCCTCTTAAGCGATCTTGATATTTTCTTCCTTCATTCAGTCTCTAAATAGTATAAAATCCTTCATCAAGTACTATATATCAATGTGCTTTGTTATCAGGATTCCCTTCCTATCACCACATTGAAACTATTCTTTCTTGACCCTTCTGTATTATTTGGTACTGTTAACCATCGCTTCCTTCAGGAAATTGTCTTATCTCTAGGCTCTGTCTGGGTTCATCTCCAATCTCTGTGACATGTTTTCCACATGTCCCTTTTACAGGATTATCTTCTCCTAGCCTTCAGCATTACTTAAGCATCTGTATTTGGTCTTTTACTTACTTCACTTGCTTCTTATGTTAGCCACCAGCCACATGTGAGTATTAAATTTAAATTTCACTAAATAAAATGAAAGTAGCCAGTCACAAAAGACTACAAATTGTGGTTCCCTTTATATGGAATGTCCAAAATAGGCAAAACCATGGAGACAGAAAGATTAGTGCCTGCCTAGGGCTGTGTGGAAAGTGGGACATCTGGAGTGACTGCACGAGCACCGGCTTTTTTGTTGGGGCAATGAAAATGTTCTGAAATTGATTGTGGTAATGGCTGCACAACTCTGTGGATGCAGTAAAAACCATTGTGTTGTACAGTTTTAATGGATGAACTGTATAGTATGTGAATTATATCTCAACAAAGCTGTTATTAAAAAAAATTAAATTAACAGTTCAGTTCCGCTAGCTACATGTTAAGCATTCAATAGCCACACGTGGCTAGAGTCTGCCACGTGAGGGAGTTCAGATGGGGAACATTTCCATCTCCACAGACAGTTGTATTGTACAGGGCTAGTAGACTGGACTTGGTAAATTGTACTTTTCCTTTTATTCTTCCTACTACGTGGCATCTGAAGAATGTGAGGCAATTAATAAATGGTTGTAAGATGTTAATAAATCACTCAAATGGCTGCGTCCGTATAATAGAGTAGAGGTTAAAATGGATGGATCTCAAGCAAAACACTATAAGAGGGTCTTATTCTATTTACATTTTTGCTTGATTTGGAAATTAATGCCACTAAGATATTACATAAACTATTTTAAATGTTTATATTCCCTTAGTCACCAGGCAAAAGCAAAATTAATGTTATACATAATGCATCAGTGTTTCTCAAACTACAGAAAGGGAATGTGCAACAAAGCTGTGAGTGAGGGACACAGATTCTGAGCAGAGATGTCTCAA